GCGCAGATCCAGCGAAATATCGGGAAAAGTGAATTACTGGTGGGGGACGCTGAAAATTCGAGTCGACGCCATCTGGCGCCTATTGTGAGTTGGAACCGGGTTTTCTTGGAGGGTACTGGTTCGTTAGCGGGGGGACTCGATTCCTTTATTGAGCCTAACCTCCGTAGCAATAACATATAAACGAAATATATATTTTTATAGTGCTTTAAGCGGTTTCCGATTACTATAAAGGAATAAAACATTTCTAAAAATTTTTTTTTGACAATAGCAGTTTTTGTGTGCTAAAAAATTTTAAAAAGTAACAATTTTTGACAATTTTGCATACATTTTCACAATGGACTTGGTTACAGTAGTTCCTGATTACTAAAAATTGATAGAAACTTTCAAAAAGTAACAATTTTTACAAGTTTTCGTGTTGGGCTTTTTCCTCTGCCAAAAGCCCCCCCCCCGCTAACGAACCAGAATCAATTACGGGTGGTCGGACGTTGAAATTTGACTCGACGCCATCAAGGCCGCATTGTGCGCGGAGAGCCGGGATTTTTAGAGCGGAATCTAGGAAGCGCAATTAGGACAAAAAAAATCCGAACCCACCCACCCAGTCCGTTTCAACGGCTTCCGCACAAGCCCCTTAATCTATAGTCAATCCACGCGTGCAAACCCTAATTTAATGCATATAATGGCAGGGGAATATCAAGGCTTCTGCATTTATGGGCCGTGGCCTGTTTTGGCGAGCCGCAGAAATTGAATTGCCGCGCGCGGCGCTTGAACCACTTGACCTTAAAAACAAAAGTACTAGCCACTCCGCGGCGGCAATCCGGGAAGTAGGATTCAAGGGAAGAGGTGGGCAGGCTGGCAGAGATCGCTAGGGCTTTGGATTGGATCGAGGAAGTTGTCCGGTGAAATCATATTTTCGCGGATTGGTCGCCGTCTGGGCCCTTGAGAGCCCTAGGGATGAGCCGGTGAATGAGATTCAGGCGGAAGTGAGATCAGGAAATGCTCGAGTGACGACAAAAAACCTAAAATTATAGATAGAAAACAGGATAAAAGCAAGGTTTATATTTAATTATTTTTACAAAGTGTAGAAATTACTTTTCGATTAAAGTGTGCTTTTATATAGAACTCGATAAAGGAAACAGCCCAGGAATTCAATAAGAAAGCTCAATAAAAGTTAAGGTCTGACGTTCTACAACTAACCAAGCAAAACGTTAAAACCCCCTTGATAATTCGGTTTAAAACTAATAGACAACTGCCGATTTACCTACTTTACTAGTTGGCGAACAAAAAAAAATACAAAAATTTGGCTGAAAAACCTTTCCAAAATTATAGAAACTTACTTTGGTACCAAGACCAGATCTACATCCAATTGCTCCGACAAAACCCGTGATTACCCTCGGGCTTTTCATATAAAAAGCGGGCACCTCCCAACCCCAATCATCTTCAACGAGTCCCCGCCGACTTCAACCAAGACAAGATGCCGGCCGCGAAGGAAGACACCTGGGCGTTCCAGCCGATCGGCTCGCCGTTCCCCGACAACCCGGTGAAGGTGAAGGGCGAGCAGAACATGTACCTGGCCCTGTGGTACAAGCACGGCAAGCCCATCCATGGTCGCTCGTGGAACAATGGTGGCGTCGTCGAGTGCTCGTTCGCCTACAAGGATGCCGAGCTCACTGGCGCCAAGGACCTGGGAGGGCAGATTCAGGTACATTTGAATACGTTTATATCCATTTTTTAACCCATTTTTGGTAATGGATTGTTAGCGGGGGAGTTAGTCTTTGTTTCCTTCCTTTTACTAATTTCTAGGGTATTTTTAGCGTTTATAACCGCTTTTGATTGCTAGGAAATACAAAAATTAATTAAGTATACCCAGAATTTTTAGCAAATCAATCACATATTATGACCATATTTTTCTAGGTGCTCCAATACAAGGGCGACCACACGACCCTCGGCTACTGGTACAGCTGGACGAAGTACAGCACCCGCTTCGACAAGGTCGACGCCGAGCTGCTCAAGTGCGGCGACTCGATCCCCATCTACTGGCCCAACTCGCCGGAAGGCGGCCTCCTCGGCTACATCGACAACAAGACCGAGATCGGCTGGTTCTCCATCAACAAGAAGGTGGGGTTTTTTTTGCTCGTGCTCACGGCTTTTACAAGCCTTTCAAACTCTGGTTGTACCAATCAATGGCTTCCAGGTCATCAAGAAGGTCGGCGGCGAGCTGAGCGACATGCTCGTCGTGTTCCGCGAGCTGAAGGGTGCCCCGCCCGGCTGCGAGTGCAAGGCCTGCGCCAAGGAGCCGCCGAAGCCGATGCCGCCCACCATCCGCGTCATGCTCAACGAGTGGGCCGATCTGCGTGCCGGGGACCCGTGGCCGGCCAAGGCTCCGGTTAAGGTGAGCATCCACGAGCTGACCATCACCCCAACAATGTTCATCTTCAGGCCCTGGGTAAGAGCCTCGACACGCTGCCCGGCGAGAACGCCGACCAGTACGTGGCGCTCTGGTACCAGCAGGGCGAGCCGGTGATGGGCCGCGTCTGGAACGAGGGCGGCAAGATTGCGGCCAACTTCTCGTGGGGCGGCAACGAGTACAAGAACAACATCGGATCCCTGCAGGTGAGAAGAGCGTCTACTTTTCTAGACGATTTTGGGTTCTAGATCCTGTACGAGCTGTCGGAGCACGTGCGCGGTTTCGACTACGGCTGGATCCCGTATCCGGAGGCGGCCAAATTCGGCGACAAGGAGTGGCACCCGGTGCACGTCAACCACTACAAGGGCGACATCTCGCCGGGTGTGATCACCGTCGGCGGCAAGCAGATCCTCGGCAAGGTCAGAAACAGGATATTTTCAGATTTCAGTTTCTAATTTAGAGAAAAAAATCTACTAAATTTTATATTTTCAACCGTAAAAGCTCAAAAACCGACCAAAAATGGCTAAACAATTTTTAAAGTTTTCTAAATAGTTATTTGGATGCAAATCTAACAAAATTTTGCTAAAAATATTATTAAAATACTGACCATGGCTTTCCCAAACTTCAAAACATCGCCAAAACACCCACGTCCTCTAGGTCGACATCAAGAACGAGCGCGCCTCGTACGGCCAAGCCGGCAAGGAGCAGCTGATCCAGGGCCCAGCCGTGCACACGACCATCGTGCTGTGCCGCAAGTGCAAGCCCGGCTGCAAGTTCGACTGAGCGGACGTGCCACAACCCTATCCAATCCCCCACCCCCATCGCCTTTTATACCTCGTCCTCATGTGGCCTTTTGTGTAACTGTCAAACGCAAATAAAGATGCGTGTCCTGATTTGTTGATTGTGCCGTGGACCTTGGATATGCTGGGGCTTCAAGCCGTAATAGTTACATACTCAAGATGGAACTTTGAAAGGTGAAAGCCTAGATAACAGGCGGATACAAATAGACGCCCCCTTGAGGTCCGGCTCATTCTCAAGGTCAACGAATAACTTCTAATGCACATTAATTCACCCCATTATACCTTGGGAGGTGCATAAATAAGAGGCAGAAACTTCCATCCTAAAAATAAGTAGAATGTCCTCCTGAAAAACCTCGCAAAGAACCCCTTGTGAATGACCACAAGGCTTTAGCCAGCCTGGCCACGCTGTTGTGAAGTGCCAAAAAAGTGCGGCACAATGAGCTGGTGGGCATCGTCCGGAATGTCGGCCGGCGGATGGATGGGGTCTCAGAGGGCAATTTCACACTCCTCCCCCTCGGAGAACCCTCCCCCCTTCCTCCCCGCCATCCGGCACACGACAATCTAATCGCGTCGAGAGCCGAGCCGGAAAGCCCATAGACAAGTAGTGTTCACCACGAGCCGCTCACTCGCAGCGCCTTGCAAATGGCACGGATTGATGGAGATGCGGGGGGCTCTCTTTCGCACCCCCACGCGATCGCCAACTTCCGGGCACGTCTGCGGTTGATTGGGGGCTGCGGACCCCATGACTACGTTTGAACTTATCCGGATGACCGCCAGCATCGCGCCTTCGAATCTGAATCCACACGATGTAATTGTCGTTGCAGATACTTGCTGTTCGCTACCAAATGTTAACGCGCACCATTTATTCTAAAAACGATACCCAGGTGGGCCCAGTGGCCGCCGCCGTAAAAACGGTCGACTTGGGCGAGAGGAGCGCCAGAACGCAGGAATTCATCGAAGATACACAGGGAGAGGGTGGAAACCGGGGGCAGACACAGTAAAACGGGGAAGGGGTGGCGACAATTTGATATATGCTAACACAGCAACGGGGGAAAAATACACAGCATATCAAAATGATGGGGTAGGGGAGGATGAAAGCAACGGTACAGCAAAAGAAGGCCGAGGTGGATGAGCTGAAAAGGGATAAAGCCGCAGGTGAGAATAGAATTTTCGGTCAGCGGATACAAGCATCCTAAAACCAGTGATAGTGATATTTGTGGCAGCATCAACCCCCGAGCAGCCAAATCCAACCTAGCGCTTCTTGAAGTTCGCCAGGGGACAGTTCATAAATAATGAAAACCAGGGCGCGGGAAGTCCCCAGACCATGATTTCCAAAGTTAAAAATGGCAGCCTGGCAATGAGCATTGCAAAACGATTGTGCCAGGGTGCCGCACGCGGAAATGACGACCAGAATCTTTGCAAACACAACAACTTTTCAACACAGCATGTTGGAGGACTTTGGGGTTCGGGGTGAATGGAGGCCGATAAGCTCGTAACGAAAGAGGGGGAATTGGATATCTAGGAAGGGGCGTCAAAAACTTCATAGAATGTCGATGTCTGTTTAGCCCTGGGGATCAGCACAAATTATCTTTGCGAATCGACAAGTAAACGTTCATCAAGTGGATAGGGATTGAGAATCGCGGAGATTGGGCTGCAGGGCAAACGTTCAGGTAATTCTTGAAATCCAACTACCAACTAGAGACCCGTCTAGAACATAGCCAACCGACAGCTCCAATAAATAATCGTGCCTAGGGTAATGGTGTTCACGGATCGGCGCATCAAAGCGTGGAGGATCAGGCGTCCCGCGAGGAGGTGGAAGGCTTGCTATTCTTGCACTCATCATCAAAGTTGCTGGGAGGGCGAATAGTGGCTTGTGAGGCGTCGTGGTCACTCTCCTAAAAGAGACTGTTTGAAGAGGGTCGAACAAAAATCACCTCGTCACTTGACGTTGAAATGTCAGATTTTTCACGCCACTGACCGTCGTCCGGATGATAGCTGCGGACGTCCATGTCCTGGTTTGCGCGCGGATTGTTGGCCGAGAGCTAGAAAAGAAGATCATTGAGAGAACACAGTTGCTCAATCTCAATAATTTCTCCGAGGGTACTGTGTATAGAGTGAAATTGCCATGGCGAAAAAATCTACCGGTGAAGTGGCAGCTGGTGGTGTCATACGAGGCGGAGACGTTGAGAATTGAGTCAACAGAGGGCATCTAAAGATGACGGTAGAAAATTAGGAGCTAGGTAACCTGTAGTTGCCGAGAGGATAACGACTGAAAGAGTCGATGCGCTGACGATAGAAATATTTCTTTTGCAACGGGTCCTGGAAGCGATCGTCGTGCTGCCACTGCTCTTCGTCACTAAAGAGAAAATAAAAATAAGACATGAAAAGTAGCATACATAAAGTTGTCCTGATTGATCATCGAACGTTTCACAGCCTCCTCGGACTCGCCCATTTTCTCGGAAAGCTTCTTTTGGCGTGCAGCAATCTGAATCACACAATGAGCGGAAGGATACAAGATTACCTGTGCAAACTTCTTCTCGTCCTTGGCCTGCTGTTTTTCATGTGTGACGCGCATGAACTCCTTCGCCAGTTCGGCATCGGATCCGCCAACGGGAACACACCGAGTGACGACGATCAAACGGAAGCCTGGGTCGATATCCTTCTTCTTATAAGCACGGTCGACTTCCAACACGTTGTAGATTTGCACGTGTTCCTCCGCTTCCCGCGTAATGCAGAACGGACCAAAGCCGGTGCTCGTGCCCGGGCGACCGTCTGGGGCCTTCTCCACTGGCGTTCCATCTGAAACTCAACATATCAAGCGCAACAAAAGAATAATAAATAAAAACAAAATCGACGAAATGACAGCTGAAATTCACCTTGAGGAACAGAGAGACGGCGTTCGTTGTACTGATCGGCCACGAGTTCGCGAAGGTGAGCTTCCCGGAGAATGCGCTCGATCTCGATTCGTGGTGGTCTAAGGAAAATAATGAAAACCGCACAAGTGAAGACAAACACGTATGCAAAGTTAAAAAGCGACAACGACATACATTGAAACCCACTCCTTGTCCCCGTAAATCGCCTCAAGGGAGTCGGTCGGACAATGGAGGTCTTGTCCCGGTGGTGAGATCAAGTGAATGTCAAAGCTGGAGCCATCTCCCCTCCTCGTCGGATCGCTGCTCGAGCCGTCGCGCTTTCCCGATGACGATGGTCGATCGATGTTAGGCTCGCTATTCCGCGAGACGACACCTTCGGCCACTAAAATAAGCTGAATGAAAAAGTTATGTCCCAACGTTTCTTGACGGCGTTGTGAAGCCGATTGGCACTCGATGCTTTGTTTTTGCGTGCATCGAAAGATGGGGCACGAGTTGCGGTAGAAGAACGTTCCTGGAACACGAGACCTCGTGCGCATCCCAAAACAACGTACCGTTTTAGGTGACAACGGTGGACTATTCGGGACAGAAGCGCTTCCACTCTTCGGGCGAACGCCTTGCTGTGGCGGAGGCGGAGGTGGATTTGTGGCAAGAACCCGAGAGGCAATTGTAGTCTCACCTAAATTTCGTTTCAAGAAAACAAATAGGTCCTACCGGGTGGATATGGGAACGCTTCATCGCCATGTTTATAGAAGCCACCGCAAAACTGCGGACAAGCAAACATCGTGTTCCACCAGACGTGTCCAACCTAAACAAATTCGTTAGAAATAAAGAGAAATATGATACCTTTGACCGATCCTTGCTTCCAACGTTGAGCAGCTTGACTTTCTTGCTGTGGTAGAGATCCATGCGCACATCACCTTCCAGGAATACCCGTTTGTTGGAAGGTACGGTCCAGCCGTAAGCTCTCCTGAATTCCGCGTTAAAACCCCCCAAGATAAATCATACCTAGAAATCACATCATTGCCACGGACCGGGTTGCAGGGATCATAAGAATCCGGGCCACGAGAGCATCGAGTCGGATTGCCCCATTTCTTGTCCTCTTCCTCCCAGCTCTAAAAAGGTAGAGAAATAGAGGCAAGGACTTTAAAATCCACAAACGGGGCCCGCCCAAAAAAGGTAAGGGCAACACACCTCTTTAGTGTACGTATACCAATCCCCGTGATACACATCAACGTCACCGTTACACACCCGCAGCGAGAAATCACCCTTTGTTAACGACCCTAAATTTATAAATCAGAACAGTTCGGCGACAGGCTACCACTGATACACGGCGGACGCTCGACGTAGACGCCGACCAGCTCGACGCGCAACGGGATGTAGTTCAGATGGAATTTTCGCAGGTGCGCAAAGTAGTAGACGTAACGACGCTGCGAGGGGATGGTCACACCCTGAAAAACATCCTATAAAAGAACAACCCGATTAACCTTATTGTTCATCGTCCGGACCACTGAATAATAGTCCATGTTCTGGCGCGGCGACAAGTAAAAGCCGATGTAGACCAGATAGGCACAGATCATAACACCAGTCCGGCCCTTGCCTGCCTTGCAATGAACGGCCACAATATTGCGCTTGTCCTCTTGCAGATAGTTGTGCACCTAAACAAACGCATTCGGAACGTAATATACGAATTACTTCGCGACAGAATGGAGCCATGAGCTCGAGACGCGGCGGGTGATGGTCAGTCATTTCAAAGCAGACCACACGATGTTCAAAGAGGGCCGGGTCGTAGACGTAAGATCCACGACTAAAAAATCAGCATTAACGACGTGGAAACCGCCAAAAGCCAGGCAGGCTCTGATCCGATACTCAGCAAAATACCTACAGGTTGAAGACTTTGTAGTGGCCGCGATGGCGACGCTCGAGAAAGCTGACCGTCTGTTCCATGCTGTTCCGATAAACCGATTCACGATCCGACGCTGGATAGCCCATAGCAATGATTCGGTCAGTGATATCTAAAGAAGCTTTAAAAAGTAAGGCATTCAACTCACAAGTCAGGTCCAAATCATATCCGTCATTTTGGTAGCGGCGCCGATTCTGGCTGACAATCTGCCGGAATTTTCGGAAGAAGACGTCTGGCCCCAGCAGCTAAAGCACACTTGAGCGAACGGAATTGGCTTCACCTGCTGGGAGCGTTTCCGTTCCTCCAATTGGCCCGCATTGCCAGAGCTGCGGCCAGACGTGGCTGCAGAAGTCGCCGTCGTGGTGCTGACTTTGGTACGAGGAGATGATGGATCCTGATTATCCGACAAGGCGGACGAAGTGCTCCCACTAAACAGAAAAATGTTTTCAAAATCACAAAATTTGCCCACCCGCTCGCGCGCTGAGTCACAGAACTTTCCCCAACAGCCAGGGGAGCTGTTCCGATAGAAGACGAAGTGTCAGTGCGGGAGGACCCCGGCTGGCTGGCTGAGTTCCCCTCCAAGTTCCCGGACTTCTTGTGCATTGATCCCTAAGCGGAACAATTCAGTGGTAACACAATTTATCCAAAATCCTACCCTGCTCTCCGATTTCGTGCGTCTAGATGAACCGCCTACGCCCAGTTTGTCTGCGTATCATAACGGCCGTACCGCTTCTACCTGAAAGATACTTTGACTCTGAACAGAAAAACAAGAAAGTGACGAAGAGTGGAATGCGCATAGCTTAGGTTTTAAAAAAAAAAATATTAATTTAAAAAAAGAAAAAAAAAAAAATATTTTTTTTTTTTTTTTTTTTTTTTTTTTTTTTTTTTTTTTTAAAAAAAAATAAATTTAAAAAAATAAAGTTGGGAAAAAAAAAAATTTAAAAAAAAAAATTTTAAAAAAAATTTAAAAAAAAAAAAATTTATTAAAAAAAAAATATATTAAAAAAAAAATAAAAAAAAAAAAATAAAAAAAAAAAAAAAGGAAAAAAAAAATAAATAAAAAAAAAAAAAAAAAAGAATTCAGGGTAGGGTTGCAATGTTGAGAGGAATGCCACGCAATTCAGTGGTGACTAACGATATCAATGTATTGTCTAGGGCTGCAGCGTCTAAGGGCCGTGCAACAACATAGCAGTGTGACCGAAAGGGCGAATTTGTTTTACAGTTAGCTGGCCAGAATCAGAAGTGTAATTCCTTGGATTTGAGCCCTGGCATGGTATCGATCGCACGATACAAAGCTAAAGAAAAGGGGCGGAAGTGTCGTGTGGCCAGCACAGGGGAAACTGAGATTTTTCGTCGACAATTTGACCAATATCCGGTAATCAGGTATATGGCAGGGAGTACGGTATTGTGACGTTAGTCGGCAATAGCTAAATTTACAAAAGACAAGCGCCAAACAGAAATATGATTTTAATTAAACACCGTGCCACATTTCACCCCCCGACTAAAATGAGGAAAAAGGCACGTGAGAACCGGATGAAGCCGAGGCTAATTTTATGCCGGTCGCGGCGCGTTGGATCCCGGAATAAACGCGAGGGGGATCGTTGCGGTGTCGGCCATTTTTCAGCCGGGCGCAGCAAAAAACGGGCCGATGCTGGCCGGGGGTCGAGCCCCCCCGAACACGCGATGGGAAAGTGGGGGCAGGCGGGTCCGAGCGTGAGAAAATGGCGCCGGGCACGGGTGGGGGGATCGAGAGGGGGGCAGACGGGGAGGGCAGGCCGGCGATGGCCAGAGAAGCCAGCCAGGGCCACTGGCCACCCATCCCCCCTGCTCCCCTTCACAATCGAACACCACAGGCCCGCAGAATCGGGCTACCGCTTGACCAGACCAGAGCGCATAAATGCGGATCATTCTAGCAATTGGCTACGAGCAAACACGAAGCTCAAAAATGTCGCAAATCATCGGACGGATAACATTAGAAGACCAGCGAGTTGGAAGGCAAGTACATATTGCTAGGCTAATTGACCAGAGTTGCGCTAACTTCATAGACTACTTGATCACCACTCTCGGCTGAACCACACACGAAGCCCCCCATTGCTCGAAGTGATAAGACGCGTCCAGCAATAATTGATTCGGCATATTTCAACGCACACGGGCAATGCCCTCGAGCCGAAACATAAAAAACCCACGCCAAGACCTAAAGGCGCCAAAAGACGAGCTAATCGTGGGGACAATATCTTTCAAAAATGAGCCTATAATTAATGCTTGTTAATAATAGCCCAGAGGGGCACATCCCTTTCGACAAATCCATTAGAATTGACAACAAACATTTCACCGATCAACGGGACAGCCGGGCCTGAGAGCGAGGCGGAGAAGCCATATTCAATCGGGCTGGGCGGGGGGGCGCTGCCTGCCCGATCCGGGCTGACAATGAACTCATCCGGGGCCTCCGGATCAGCGGAGAGATGCCGTGAAAGAAAGAGAGTTCCAGGGTATAAACGCTAATCCACGAAGCTCATAAAGAAGTGGATTAGGAAAGGGGAGCCGAGGAGCCCGTCCCCAGTGGTATTGAACCGTGAAATCGCGCCGAATTTGCGTAGGTAGATGTGCGCCGTATTGATCGTGGCGCCAGGGATTAGGAAGTCGGCGTCACGGCTTCGCCTTTTTCCTCCAATCATGGTTCATAGGAAATTTTGGCGAGACTAGGGACTCTAGCTGGGATCAATATCAGGCTGGGGCTTTGTCGTGGCCAACGCGTTGAACGAAAAAAAATTTTTTATTTTTCTTTTCTCGTTCCTTTGACCATGATTAAGAAACGAGGGGAGGGGGGGAGTGTATGAGCAAAAGAACCTTACCGGCCAATGAATGTCGAAAGATGACACAGCGAGCCTCTTGGGGCACACACACAAAAAAGAGCGCGGCGGCGGCCAAGAGCACGCGACTGTGCGCAGATCGAGGCGATAAGGCCGGGGTTAGACAAAATTCTGCTCCAATGATAAAAAAAACCAAGCTGCCATAAACGCTACTTACTGATATTTGGGAATGCATTAAAAAAGCAAAACAAGGGTGGTATTCATTCTTACTATCTCCACCTCCTTTCCCACAACTTCTAAAAACGCAAAAGAGACGGAAATAATAGGGGTAACTTTACGAACAAGGGAAGTGAAAAGCGGGAGCCCGTAAAGGGGCAGACAAGCGTGAGCGCCGATTACGGTCACTCCACTGATGGAAATGCTGCGGTGATTTCAGAGCCCAGGAGAAGGTCCTGGATCTAAAGGCCATAAGTGGACCCTGGAAGTCGCTAAAATTTCAAGGAATCCGAGTAGAAGCACGTGGTTCTGCCCCAGGAGTGCAGCAAGGGCAAACCGAGCGTTGAACTTGTGGGAAATACATGCGTGAGGGTAGGCCATTACTATACTATCCATTGAAGTCTACTACTTTTCTAAGTTTTATATCCCACAATTTTTGCAATGCAAAGTTTTGCGAATTTCGCATCGCTGGCGGCGAGTTCAGCAGCGGTCACCGAAAAATCGGAAAGGTGTGTCGGGCAGGGGCGGTCCTGGGGCGACTGGCATTTTGCCAGCCTCATTTTTCCTCGGGCGCGATCCTCAAACCCAAAACTTTCCAAGCAACTTTTTTATGTTTATCTTGTGTTACAGTCCTTCTATACGTGATCAATGCTATATATTATTTTTTTGCTGTTTTGCCAAAACTTTTCACGTTTTCCTTGTGCACATTTTCCACCGTTACACCTTTTTTTAGAATGGGTTTCGGCGGTGATAGAGGCGGAGGACGCGGATTCGGTGGCGATCGAGGCGGAGGACGCGGTTTTGGCGGTGGCCGAGGCGGAGGACGCGGTTTCGGCGGTGGCCGTGGAGGTGGACGCGGTGGCTTCGGCAATCGCGATAACTATGGACCCCCAGAAGAAGTAAGGATCTTCCTTCTATTCCAGATTCGTAACGAAATTTTCAAAGATTCCTGCCTTGCCGGTTACTTATACCTTTTTCAGGTCATCATCGTCGGCCAGTTCACCCACTCCTGCGAAGACGACATAGTTTGCTCGAACACATCCGGCAAGATCCCTTACTTCAACGCGCCCATCTACTTCGAGGAACAAAGAGGAGGTCGGCAAAATCGACGAGATCTTTGGAGGACCTCAGGACAGCGTGGGTTTTCTGCGTGCATATTTTACGTATTGTTTTTCCAGGGATTTACGGTCAAATTGAGCGGTGGTGTCAAGTCGGCGTCATTCGAAAGTGGTCAACAAGTATACATCGATCCTGCAAAACTCCTACCTGTGGAGCGGTTTACTGGACAGGTGAGTTTCATTTTCATTTCCTGTGCTACAGGGACCCATGGAAATGTGGTCCGCGTTTCTGATTGACTACAATCCTTGTCTAACTGTTCGCGTTCCAGCAACAGCGTGGAGGCCGTGGTCGTGGCGGTGACCGTGGACGTGGTGGCCGAGGCGGTGGATTCCGTGGAGGAGATCGAGGTGGCCGTGGAGGTTTGTAATTACCTTCATTCAGTATTTTTGTTTAGGTGGTTTCCGTGGCGGTGATCGGGGTGGCTTCCGAGGAGGGGACCGAGGTGGCTTCCGTGGCGGCGATCGTGGAGGATTCCGCGGCGGCGATCGAGGTGGCTTCCGTGGCGGCGATCGTGGCGGCTTCCGAGGTGGTGACCGAGGCGGCTTCCGCGGTGGCGACAGGGGCGGATTCCGTGGAGGTATTTATTTTTTGCCTTTTTGTGTTCCATGTTCAGTTTCTATCATCGCGGGCGGCGTTCATAACAGCTGTTTTCAGATCGCGGCGGAGGCTTCAAGCGCAACTTCGACTCTCCAGCAGCCGGCGCTCAAAATAAGAAGACCAAGTTCGAAGATTAGAGCTGATACATGCCCCCTTCCACATTGCTCCTTGTTGGGTTCCTTACATTGTTATCCCCCCGTTGTTACGTTGTTTTGTTATAGCCACACATTAATCATTTATTCAAGTCTTCTTCGAGTCTCACTTTGATACATTCTTCATTTGTGGTCTGTTGAGCAATCGTTTTTTAGAGACAATTGCCGTTTGTATCTAAAGTTGGTTGTTGACAGATAAAAAAGTTTTGAATACTTTTGGGATGGCATGTTCCTGGATGAGGATATCTACGATCATCTTTCGGAACTCGTTTTCTCCGGTTTCGCGAGGCGGCGGATCTGAATTTTGATTTTGTATGCGGACATTTACTGCTCTTACGGATCCTAGAGCCTTTGAGTCGGAAATGTGGAAATCTGCTTCGCCAAAGTTCGCACTCATCTGTTAGTGAGGTATCTATTCACAAGCTCGTTGTTTTGAAGTAGGACCTACCTGTGCACGGAACCCCCTCGTATAGGCATGCATCCATTTCCTCTAGGAAATTGAGAGGAGAAACCTCTGCCGTGCGAGGTGAACATACCGCAGAATACAACGAATTGGACCAGAAAGACGACCCCGTTGCATCCATTTTTTAGTATAAGGCAAGGTGATTCGATGCATCGGGCTGCTGTTGCGTGACTCGGTTGCCATGACGACCCAAACCTCGAAAGCAAGCGCGGCAAAACCCAGTTTATCATCAACAAAAACTGTAGCAACAATAACAAACAACAACGTTCGAATAACAAACAAAACGATTGAACTAGCATTCCGGGACGGCCTTCTTCTTTTTCAGTTTTTGCTTGCCGTTGCTGGTCGCCTTCCTCTTCTTCAAATTCTTGTCCATCTTGGCGGCCACCAACTTTGCGGCTTCGTCGGAAGGAACCGCGTTGAAAATCTAGGAAAGGGCTAGTTTAGAGCGATGGGAACGAGTTAACCTCGCCAGCAGGATCTTCCACTTTCTCCTTGAGCACGGCCTTCGTCGAGATGTCCTTCTCAACTTGAACCTGAAAGAGATTGCTTATAGCCAGAAAATGAAATCACCTTTTCGTGTAGTTTCTTGTTGACATATTTGTTTTGGTTGACAATCTTCAGCATGCGTCGCTTATCGTTCGGAGCCTATAGATTCAATCTTATCCATTATCACCAAGCGAAGTTACCTCATAGTTTGGATTATCGTATAGAACAGCCCCTTCGAAGGATCCGTTGAAGATCCGGATCAATTCGAGCACAAATCGAGGCCCTAAGAAAGAATAATCAATTCTCAAGGTTTTCTCAAACATACCGATCTCTTGCAATTGCAAGGTTTCATCGACGATTTGGAAATTTCGGAACCAGATCTTCTCATCTGGGGAAATCGAGAAAGTGAAAACGTGGTCGACAAACGGTTGAGATCGTGGGTGGTGCTCGGGTGTGCTAAATACCTAAAAAACGCCGGGATTTTGGGACGAAGCAAAAAGCGCACCTGTGTAAGCGTCTGCTTGATCAACTCCAAATGCGGCTTGCCTTCAAACGTTGAATCAAACGACAGGATCGGCCGAGAGGCTTTCAAGCAATTGCCGGTCAACTGAAGAAATTTTTTTGAGCTTGTGATGCAATATGGTTACCTTTAGCTCGTCCATTGTGTGGATGTTGTGCACGAGAAACTTCATGGACGGCCCGTTTTCAATGTTCGACATCCAGAGATACCGATCCTAAGAAAAATTAGCAAACTAAGCGCTAACAAACTACCTTTCTTTTCCTGTTCTCGAAATAAAGAACCTTCTGGCAATTCTTCATTTCCGCAATCTCGTTGATGACCGAGAGAGTGGCTGTCTTGTCAAATTTCGGCTCTGATTTCGAGTGTGGCATCAGTGTCTAAAATATCTGTATAAGGCGAATATGTCTAACGCTTACGTGCAAATCTTTCAGCAAATGTCTTGTGCGGAAGTCAGTCCCCCGGGAGCAGAATAATAGTACGCGGGTCCTATTCGTCCATTTGCTTCGAACTACTTGTGCGTCCTGAAAATCCAATTAAGAGGTGGACTAAAAAGCAACCTGATCAGGTTTCTCATCACCATCAACGCTCGAATCATCAGAATCGCTGATGACCTCCTGATGAAGTAACTTCGCCAATTTTTCCTCGTCGACCTCTTCTTTTTCCTGAATCCAAGAATTAGTGAATGTGCCCGTAATCATACCTGCAACAGATTTTGCTGTTTAAATTTATTCTTGAGATTCTTGCCTAGCTTCTCCCGGACGCCCATATCTGTAATCTCTAGTTTATTCTCATAAAAATCCGCTAGCACACGAAATGGAAATGGAGTGACCAGGTCATGACAATCACGTAAAATCAATCAACATCTATGAAGTAAGGCAAAATGGTGTCTAATTGTAGCGAGTGCGGCACTGCTTGAAAGCGTCGTTGAAGCCCTGGCACAGCGAGACGTCCGACTGGGATTGCGAGCTAGAAGAAGCTGAATAAAAAACGCACGGAAACTCGTACCATTCCATGAACTGCTTCCACTCGAACTCGCAAGGATTGGCATACTGCTGGCCGGCCGGAGCGGCGGCGGCAGGGGCAGCCGCGGGCGCGTGGTCATTCGACGAGCCGCCGCCACCGGTCAACATATGCCCAACGGTGTGGCCGACGGCCGAGCCGATGGCGACGCCACCAGCGGTCGCGGCCATTTGAGCCATCAAACCGGGGCCCTAAATGAATGTAATTTTTCTAGGCGTTGGAAATTTTCGTACCTGAGAAGGGGCGGCACCGGCCATCGGAGGCGCGGCGTGCATCGGGGCGGCAGCAGGGCGAGCCGACATCGGGGACGCCATAGGAGGGGCTGCACGAGCTGAGGGCGGCGGGCTCGGCGCAGCTCTGCGGACCGGGGCCGAAGGCGTCGGGGAAGCGGTGCGACGACGGACCATCTGAACAAAAGTTTTATTTTCTTTAGCCACAACGTAAAAACAAGAGAATTGGAAGGAACAACGCTCGGACGGGCAGAAAAATTAGGCCAACAAAAAGAAAAAATTTCGAGGCTATAACGAGCAAAAACACTAACAAAGTTAATAGCCAAAAGGAAAGGGGCAAAGATAAAATTTGACGAAAGAAAATCTGTTCGAGATCACCGATCGCAGGAGGGGAAATGCAGCCCAGACGTAATTTGTAGCGCGCCGTTGCTCGGGTCAACCCCCAAACTTTCGAGCAAATGAGTGAAAATTGTTTTTTTTTGCAAACAAAAAACGACAAAAGTGCTGGAGAATGAAAAAAGCTATGACCAATTTTAGATGTTTCGGATCGATTCATGCAAATCACCGCGACACTGGCCATGTGAACCCCGGCAAAACGCAGCTAATTTGGCTGCGATGCACGATCTCGTATTCCAGTCGCAAAATTTCCGCGGCCCTTTACACGCAAAGATGGTTGTCCTGGATCCACTAAAACTTTCTACAAATCCTCTACAAAAATTTGATGTGGTGCTCGCCCAGCAAGAACCGCAGGTTATTGGGGAGCCAATCTCGATGGAGGTAAGGCGAGTAAGATACAGTGACCCCGGCACAGGCTTATGACATTGAACTCCCGAGATGGGTCGGCGACCCCTGGAAGGGTGCTTATTCGCGGCACGGCTTCTGGTACAAGTTCCACTGGGGTGGATCAGAAGACTTCCAAAAAGTATAGGACTAGCACTATTCGTAAAACCCTCTTTAGCTTGTCGCTTTGGCGGAAATGCAGAGCCATTTCTTGTTGCAGTACGAGCTGATGGAGACATTGGAGAAGACTGCTACTGTGAAACTCTTGGTTGCAAAGGCACAAAGTATAAGCTTAAAGGGTCTATAAATCAACGACCCGCCTAAGCAACAGTAAACTAAAGGCACATTTAGATGGGGATTTTATTGGTGGTATATTACTGGTCAACTACGACCAAGTTTGCGTGCTAGGATGTCACTTTGTCGTCGAGGAAAATAGGTGTGAGCGTTTGTCTCGCGCTAACAGATAATTCAGACATTCTGGTATCGGGGAAAAGCTCCTTAGGGAGATATTGGACCATACCCCGCCGCGAAGCAAGGTAGTATTCCATGCAGGTCGGTCGGACAAAAATAATAAATGTTTGTAACTAGTGCACCCGCTTCACCATTCACTACCTCGCTTCGGCCTAAAGCTGGCGAACCAACCACGTAGCCAACGTCTTACGGTCACTAATGGGGATGGCTTTACAAAGTTGACGGTATTCAGACTCCGTGTTTTGAAAAGGCCATTTAGATAATGCCAAGCGCTTACAAAGTCATAGCAGGAGACCAAGCGGATGGAGAACTATGGGCGCAGGTCGCAAATTTCGAGGCCGCAATCACCGGCTACAGTAAAGGGTATGTCGCCAAGGGAATAAACCTAACAAAATTTTAGCGCGGCATTCTGGAAAGCTTTTTCTTCACTCAAGGGGAACCATGCCATCATAACCATTGATGGTCAGGTTTGGGAAAATGATTAAAGGCCTGAATCCTCGTAGGGGAAACTTGTCGGCTTTGGGATGATACGCGAAGCCGTGGGGGATCCATTGGGAATTCTGCTCCTGGGGCCACTTTTGGCAGAAAGCGAAGAAATTGGGGAAGGGCTACTACGCGAGCTGGTTCTGAATTACTACGTAAGTAGGCGCAATATCGGTCGGAAAAAAAATTGTTTAGAACCCCGAGGACGACTTCGATTTCAATCCGGATATGGCTGCAATCTATCGGTAAGGGGACGGAAAGGTTTGAACGAGAAATAGGCGCGACTTGCACGCATTTGTGCCCGAGGGAAGCAAAGGAACCTACAACATATTGGAGAAACTAGCCGGAGCAAATGGGATTATTTCCCGGGATAGACTGATGTACCAGGTACTTACCGCCTCAAATATTCAAACAAAAGCTTTAGGTGGCTAGCACCGGGCCAATCGACTCGCCGAATCCCCAAGTGGCTTTGGCTCTAACGGATATACATTTTTAATATAATCGGTATAAAGTATCATACTGCACTTGAAAAAAGGCAAACAGAATAGAAAAATTTATCAGAACATAAGGAACAACAAGGGACAACATGAAAATAGCCTACACCTCACAGCACAAAGGCTTCCGCCAGTGAGAAGGCGGGAGAGGGCGAGGCGAAATCACCGGTAACAAGAGACCCAATTTCAAAGCCTAACAACGGACTAAGTATCCAACAAAAGAAAACAAACAACAAAAAGAAACGGTGCATTCAATTGATCAGCGTTTTAACCGTCGCGTTCGCTAGCGTCTCGGCGGCGGGCTCGGCGAAGGTGTGGGTTGAGGACGATGCTCGAACTGCCTAAATCAAAAAAATATTAGAGGCCGAGCCAAGAAACCGACCTTGCCCCCGCGAATCCGGCTCTTCCTCATATTCCTCGTCGGAATCATCTAGGTCGAAGAAATCCTGGCCATCTTCCATATCATCGTCAACATCATCGTCCTCGTCCTCGTCACTGTCATCGGAAGTTCCGCTTCCAGCTAATAAGATATGGATAGTCGAAAGCGGAAGAAACTAATACCTTCAGAATTCATGGGGGCATCTGCGTTTTCGTCGAGTTCCCAGCCACTAGAGAGACTGCCACCTTCCCCCGATCCGCTTTCACTGCCGTCAGCATCATCGTTTGCGTCATCCTCGTCCTCGTCTTCATCTTCCTCTTCGTCCTCATCGTCAAAGTCAGATGATTCCTCCTAAAAATGAAGTAAATTCGCACGAACACAAAAAGCCAACTCGGGGTATATAAAAACTTACAGCAGACGACGAGTATTCACTTCCAACAGCTTCCGGATCAACCTCTTCCTCGCCATCTTCTTCTGGGATCCGCAGTTTGCCGATCTAAAAGGAGATATTGCTAGAAAGTTGGAGGGCTAGAAAATGGATATCCAATTATTTCCGTGACCTGTACTGCCTTTCCTCAAAATATATATCTATTATATCACTTATATAATTTAAAAAGATATTCACAAACCTCGTAAAATTTGACGGCTGAAGATTCGAGGCTTCTATACCCCTCCTCATCACGCGACGTCCGCTCCACAACCGCAACCCTTTGATCAGTGTGGTCGAGACAGAATCCGAGCAACGGCTTTCGCACATCCACCTCAGCAATTTGCTAAAAACTTCGATATTATGGAAACCTAAAAATTCAAAACCTCGTATAAGATGGAGTCGTAGGACCAAAATTTGCTGGTGTATGTGTCGCGAAACGAGCTATCCTCGCGATCCTCTTCCCGCTTGATCGCGTAGAAGATGTTGCCGGTTGAAGAGAAAGTAAGCTAAAAAAATAGATATCCACGTGATGATAAACTACCTTGCACTGGTCGAGGGCGGGGATGGAGCGCAGTAGTTTGTAGGTACGAAGGTCCCACTTAATAAAAATTTCTAGCTCGCCGACTACAAAACCCACCACTTGTGCGTTGATGATGACCTCATTGCCGTGGGGATGGAAATCGCCGGAGGCCACGTAGCCGAACAGGTCGAAGGTGTGCAGGGGCTCTGTAGCGCAGCGTGGATCCCAGAGTTGTCCTAGAGACAAGATAATCGTAGCTGTAAGAATGCACGTACCATCATGCAAAACCATGCGATCATCCGGAGCGAAGTGGGCAAGATTCCGGCGGTAGCGCTGCGGTTCGCCCTGCTTCCACATCTTGACGATCGGCGTTCCACTCTCTGTGTCGTAAATCTAAATTTTATCGTTGGTGAAAAAGTCATCTAGCAATCCCAAGCCAAAAAGGAAGCTTCGGCTCACCGTCGCGATTCCCTCATTCGTCTCGTACGCGGAGCTTGTCCCAAGGATTTTATCAGAACCGCGTCGACCGTATTCCAGGTGGATTTCCTCGGCGAGGTCGTACATGTGCTCCTAAATGGTTTCATTTTTTTAGCTAGTGTGAGTTTCTATACCTGCGTTTCCCCAAGGCGCCACACGGAAGAGTACGGGCGGACAAAGGCGGATGAGGTGAGCAGGGTGCTGCCGTCCTGAAGAGACGTATGAGGATCACAATATAATGGTTTACCCGGCTGCACACGATGTGAGTGACAGCAGAATGGTGACAGTGGGTGTTACTCTCTTGGTTTCCTGTCTCCGCGTTTAGCCACTGCAGCTCCCCTGTGTACAATCCGACGACGACGTGTTCATCGTCAATCTAAATTTTGCATAAAATCCGTGATAAGGCGCAGTTCATTGGAGATCATTTCGGCGTTCTAAAAATTCAAACAGACCGAAAATGCCGCGGCCGTACACATTTCTTCATTAACAAAAGTTTTCAGTGGGCGGAAGCGAGAGTGCTGGAAACGCTCGTATGCCCGGATGTGCCGTGTCCTAAAAAATTTACTTATTGGCAGTTACTAGCAGGACTTACCGATCATTTGCCAACGTCAACGGCCGATTCCAGAGGCGCGTCGTGATATGCGTGGAGAGTGTGTCTTTCTCTAGCGGCTCCGGGCAACTGTGAGGACGGAAGAGTTCAAATGGAGGGCATGTCGCGATCGGGTTGCGGCATTCCGCGTGTTGCAACCTAAAGCTCAGGGTTTGCGAATGCAAAGATGTCTACCTGAAGTAATTCGTCAAAACTTGATCAAGCGTAATATCAGTTTTAGCGGGCTCAGGAGCACGAGCGGGTCGGCCTCTTCTGTTCGGCGTTTGTTTCATGGGCGTCGCAAAGAAGGTATCCTTCGAGGCAGAAGGCGTGGCCGTCTGGGATGCTTTTGGCGTGGCAACGGCACTTCCAAAATGGCTGCCCGTACCCGATTCCATGCAGAGGGCCGGTTTATTTGGCGTGCTGGACAACATCCCGATTTTGGAGGGCTACAAAAGTCGTCGATAAAAGCTAACAAGTTTACCAAGTTTAACAGATAAAAACAGTTTACCAAGCCAGGGATTGCTTTGAATTGTGGTGGGGGCGCAGATCCCGGTGGACCCGCAGGGAGCCCAGCCTCGGCGAACAGTTGCGAAGCTGTTTTGCTCAGGCCCTAATTTCAAAAGATACGTAAAGGGTCGTTAAATACCTTTGTCAGGAAATAGGAATGGAGCAGCTGGTAGACCTCTTGGTCACTGTATGAGATGTTGGTCGAGGCGACGATGCCTTGTTTCTCAATGCGTTCCTAAACACCGATAATGATGAATCTCCGACGGCTTACATGTGACATGTCCTTCACATCTCTGAGGCGGCGCTTTGTGACAACCTCGATCAGCTTTCGCGCTTCCTTGAAGAAACGAGCTTGGGCACTGCGGCGCTCCGAGGGAAGTAGTCCGCGGTAATGAGCTAAAGCAGCGAAATTGATTAAAACAGGGTTTTCTCACATTGTAGAACATTGTCGCGAATAAAGGGCAGTTTGGACAGCATTTGGCAAACCTCCGGGTCTCTGAAAAGGCTAAATCCTACTATATATAAAAAAATAGTGTCTGTGCGTGTGTGTGTCTGTGTGTGCCACTTTGCATCCACTTCCGTTTGGCTGTCCGGAGGATATCTCGCTAGGGGATGAATTTTAAAGTACGTATGATACGTCATTAGGTGCGCATTCGTCTGGGGATGACTGCACACATCGAAAATGTTACAAAATCAGCGGTTTTCAACATTAAATTTAGGTTTTTGTGAAAACCTCTTTGTTAGAACAAATTAGCATAGACCGGAAGGAGGGATTTGACCATATAAAGGGGCAGAAGAAAGTGTTTTTCAGTTTTTGTGATCAGAATGCAAGATATTATGCAAAGGTTTAGGATAAAATGGGGTAAGACGGGGCCAGGGTTGAAAAGTCGCGAAGCGGCTTTTCAACCCTGGTGTCTCAAAAAAAAATAAAATTACCTGGCCAATCCTTGCAAAGTGCGACAAGCCACGAGACGAAGGCGATCATTCGTCGGGCCACTGGCAGAACCAATGACATTGATCATGCACTAAAAGAGACTACATCCGGAGGGTGACGCTTACCATGATTCCATTGGCATTTCTGATCGCCGCCCACACTTTCTTGAGCGGTTCAAAATTTTCTTCGTAAGCCGGTCGGGGTTTTCGATCAGGCGTTTTTCCGGGGGTTTGCGCGGTTGACAATTGCGTCTGGAATAAATACAATCAAAAGCGGAAAAACTATCATACCTTAGTCTCCAACATCGGAGGCACACATGCCAATACTTGCATGATGTTCAGGGCCAAGTTCGTGATCTCATCATTCTGGCACGGCATTTCACAGTGGCTAATTAGATGGCTAAAAAAATTTGTAATAAAGTTGGCCTTGCGAATTTACGTCAGAACCGAGCAGCCGCTGTGGTCCTTCATCTCGAGCCGCTCAATTATGTCCTGCTGTGTGCTAGGCAGCACCACCATCATCCACATCACCTGCAGCGCTTGGCGAATCATGTCGTGTCGGCTAAATTTCGTTGCCGAGGAGATGAATAGGGATACCTAGTAGCTGCAATATTTTCAAAGCCAAGGGCGTGGTGGACGATGTGGAACATGTACTTATTGACGTCGATGGCGCGAAGGTTTTCCGCAGGTTTCCAAGGCGGCACCCTGTCAATCCGTAGTGCGCATGCCAAGGCCCAAACGGCCCCTTGCAAGGCGTCATCGTCCAGGTCCATCGGCTAAAAAAGCTTTTTACGCAAATTGGTGCCTTCTAGTACCTTCAAAGAAGACGAATTTCGTAGGATTACAGCTGGTATTTGGCATGAATAGCCCAGTGGAAGAGACGTGCGGGCGTGGCGACGAAGCTGCTCGAGCTTCAAGTAGATGTGGGCAGTTAAGTAACTGAAAAGAATAATGCACCGAAGAAACAAAAATACCTTCGGAAGCAAGCCGACACGTTTCGAATCGAATGCATCGAAGTTTGCATCTGCTCATCCGTGAGCGTCACCGCAGTTCCGCCTTCGAATTGCACGAACAGTGAAAGAGTTGAGAGCTATAAAATATTAAATTTTTGGATAGACACTTACGTAGTTCAACACGATCCTCGGGCCGTCCATGCGATCGAATCGCTCCAGAATAGGCCGGAACTTGATACAGTGCGTGAAGAACATACAGGCGCTGGCCATACCATTCTCGTGGGAGTGCTCAACACACCACAACGCGTACCTAAGCCCGGTGTCTTTTTTACATAAAAAACAACTTACTCGACCAATTTGTCGAGCGTGCTTTCCGGGCAATGAGAAAGGCAAGTTTCCATGACGTCTTCGGTGTAAGCGATATAGTAAAGGCAGGTAGAGACTGCGACGGCTGCGAGGCTTCCGCAAGGCACCTTCAGCAGGGCCTCGACACCTCCTTTTTGCACAAAAACTGTCGCGAAACGACGGTGGACGAGCAGGGAAGAAATGTACTAAAATCAAGATCAGACTAGTAAAATTTACAAACTCTAATGGCATCCAGCGTCAACCGGACATCCTTCGTCTTCCGCAGATCTGTATAATCCATAAGAAGCGGTAGTGCATTGCCTTCAAAGACTCTGACGAGGAGCTAAAAACTTTAGTGTTCGTTTCCGGAAAAAGTTACATCTTGGTATTCCCCGGTTTGGGTGAGGTATTGAAGGATGAGACGTTGATGCATGGCTGTCGTCAATGGGTACACCTAAAAAGTGATGTTTTGATTTTTTTAACGAAAGTTTGATTAATTTCCTATGTCTTGAAAGCGTACTTGATGCTTTCCCAAAAGCAGTGGCATCTGATTACACCAGTTTGACGTGCTCTGCGCACTATCTTCGTTGAAGTCAAACGACTCGGTCGTGAGATCCTGAAGAATTTTAATTTTTAACTTTGAAATAAAATAACCTCAATCTTTCGACGTTTCCTTGGCGGGCTCAGAATGGTCGAAGGTTGTGTGGCGATTGGATGAGAATTCTTGACACGAACAGGGCAGCTGGAAAATAATTCTAGAAAGGACGGTGAAAACATACCCATATAGACCGAGATCGCTCCTCGTAGAACTAGGCTCCGCCGCGTCCGTATGGTTTTCGGCAATGTCAATATTGGCAAATGGTCCATCATCACCATTTGGGGCAGAACCATTGACGCCGGCTGAAGTAGACGGGGCTTCATGATGCTCCGGCTTTTCCGGATGCATTTCGGCCTAAAAAATTGTCAATTCAGAATTAGATCGGATCAAAAACAACCTTTAACTCGGCAAGCGTCTTCAAGGCGAGTGGAATTAGCCGTAAATTCTGGTCCTGATACTTTTCAGCCATCTCTTGCGACTCCAATGCGCAAGCCAAAAGCCCGAACGAATATGCCCGCAGCTCTTCGGATTCGCTGTTTTCGACATTGGCGAAGAGTTGATAAACAACATTGTCATGCTCCTGGAATTAGCCCTATAACTTTCCGTTACAATGCCGTTACCGTGAAAATTGCTCGACTATCCACACCGGGAACGCAGCTCAACAGCAAACGAGCGGCCGTCACATTCAGCTTTATGTTGTCGCGAGCAACGATATAGGAGATCGTAATCTACAAGCACATTTGATAAAAAACTGTCGGACTCACGGCGTGCATAAAGTCAGCATTGCGAAAAAGCATGTTGAGCGCTTTGCCATAGCTGGCGTCAGGATGAGTTCGAACTGGGTGCCGATCGTCTAGCGGATCCGGGTCCAGACTGAGAAATTCGTTCAGTGAATTCTCCAACACGACCGCCATCCTGAACGGAATTTTTTCAAGAGCTCTTTTGCACTACTTTTCAAGGAGATCCACTGCGTCGAAACCAGGTTGGTCGTGCTGCTGGTTCCAAACGGTGAGAAGGGCTTGTAGCTGAGCCGGATCATTGGATGCTAAAGGAAACTACTTAGACTTATATTGGTAATCTACCTAGTTTATTAACAAATCCTGATGATGCGCTACTTCGAAGTTTCGGTGGGTTCAGGGGCGGTTCCGACCCCAGCACGAAGCTTTCGGGGAACTCCATTGCTGAAAAAAAACTGTATTTTCTGTTTATTGCACCGGAAAATGGTATTTACGTAAATTGAAGACGGCAATAGGATGAGACCGTTTTAGGTAGAAAAGTCAAGACGAACTGGCCCACTAAATAGACGTGCAGAGGGGTTGGGTGTTGGGTCACGTAACCGATCCCGAATAGGCATGCGCTGTAAAAAAAGAACAAAGAAGCAATCCACGTGATATCGAGGGGGGAACCTGATGAAATTTGTGAGAAAAAAAAGATAAATAAACGGGAATCGAAGATGTCAGAAAAAGATGCTATAAATCGCGGTGTCGGCTTACAATTTTGAGAAACAAAGAATTGAATCCGAAGCGAAATGTGGGACAATTATAACAAACTATTTATTATTAGAGTTCTTCTCAAATTTCGCATAAAATTAATTTAAAATCGACGAAAAGTAAGAGAAAAACGAAAATCGTAAAAGCCAAAAAATCACCGGGAAGGCGTACGTTTTACATCTATGAACGGTTGAAAGTCATCATGTTCTGCGTAAGGAACAAAACCAAAATTTTTGAAAGTTCGTTTTGGAATTTATATTTTTCATACAGAGATTTATTTCTTCTACTACTTTATACTTTTTTCTACTCGATCTGAAAATAGTATCAAAAAAATTTATTGCCTTTAACATTGATTTTCCAGGTTATGGACGTCAAGAAAAAGCCCAAATCTGACCAGCTGAGATGGGTGGTGATCTACCCGGCCTACATTTCCAAGAAGACGCTCGTGGAGGGCCGGAGGATCCCTCTTGCCGAAGCCGTCGACGCGCCCAATGTACCCGAAATCGTCGACGTCCTGAATTCAATCCCGCTGCCAAATCTGGTGGAAACAAAGATGTACCCGAGGGATCAACTTCGAAGCACCTTATGCCAGGTGAGCGATTGATTAGTCTCTCTTCTATGTTCTGCGTTATGCTGCTCAGTAAATCTGCTAATACGAGTTTTTAGGGTAGAGTGCGCGTGCAGCTATTCAGTGAAGATGGGACTCCGCTCGTTCCCGAAATTACGACCCGACAAGCGCTCTACAAACACGTGGCAAAGCTGATTCCGATGCTCAAGACCAGACAGCAAAAGCCGGTCGTCGCCGCGCCTCAAGCCACTGTCGCAGCGGGTGGGAAGAAAAATAAAAGAAGCGCTAACCGATCAATTGTATAATTTTTTTTCGCATGTTTTAACCAATGTATTGTTTCTCACGCGTATTCTCTGTTGGACGACTTGATAAATTTCTTTGAAATGATACGGTCGTCTTGGATAGGCTACGGCGACAGAAAATTAGGGCAATTTTGGGTGGTGTGGTCCCCTGGTCCTTCTCGAACTACCTAACATCGCTCTCGCTACAATGCCGTCGAACACTTTGACCCGATGCTTCTTTGATTTGACAGCTGATGGCGCGAATCTCGGGAGATTGGTTTTTGAGGTAATTGAATGCCAAAGTCGGTTTTTATCTTTCAGCTGGACACCGAATTATGTCCAAAAACCTGCGAGAACTTTGCGTCTCTTTGTCGTGGAACACAGGGTTTCGGCTATGAAGGCAGTATCTTCTACCGTGTCGTCCCCGGATTCTGTGCCTGCGTATGTTTTTTGTTTACAAAAAAAATAAAAAAACACACATCCTTTTCTGTCAACGCTTTTAGAGCGGCGATTTCGAGACACAAAACAAGGACAGGAAGGGTGGGCGCTCCATTTATGGAAAATGGTTCGATGATGAGAATTTCGACAAGTCGGTAAGGAAGCAATATTTGCATCCCCGTTCCCATTAAAAGTGTATAACAACAACAGTTTAAAGAATTAAAAGTATTACATTTTGAGCACGACAAACGCGGTGTCCTCTCAATGGACAATTTCGGGTGGCCCAACACCAATTCTTCACGTTTCTTCGTGACATTTGACGAATGTAGATGGTGGGTGTCAATTTGGAGGATGATAAGCCTTTGAGTTATTTAGGATGGATGGTTACCACGTGGCATTTGGGGAGCTGGTCTCTGGGTGGGACACACTGGATGCTGTCGAGAATCTGGGTAAGGCTTTTCTGGGTTTCTACCGCACTTTACAGGCGTCATTGAGGGCTACGGCCGCCAGAAGGGGCGAACGACCAAGGAGATTGTGATCTCAAAGTGTGGAACTCTCTGAAATAAAGCCATAAATTTAATTTTTATGCGCATCAAAAAAAAAATTGCAGCGGGTTTTATGCCGCCCCTTTGTTTAGCCCTTTCCTTTCATGGCTGCGTGATGAATGAGGGAAATCTGCCCATGCAGCGGCTACCTTGACTTTAAAAAATGAGCCTCCAGGGGCCCGCCGGCGTTCGCGGAATCCGTTACCGGGTTCAGATTTTGGCCGCCGCCTAGTTTTTTGTTGACCGGCCACCAGTTTGTATCCCGGGTGCTCGAGTTGACGAGGGCTTCGCAGGCGGTGAGGTGCTTGAAAGTAAATTATGGGCGACGTCTGCCGGAGCTCTACTGCCACCTCTGGCCAAATCGAATTGCCTTCGCTTGCCTGATTTTGGGCCCTTGACTCCAAAAAGCGGTTGGGATGTTTGAAAATTTATAATTTTTTATGCAGACGATGGGTTCTTGATTGTGGAGCCATTTTGAAGCACGTAAAGAGGGTTTTAACGCTTATCGTATTCTAATGACGCCAATTGCTTTATTTGGACATTTTGTAAGGTTCTGGAACGTTAGCGGGAGGGGGGAGGCATTTTGGCCCATATCTAGCGACTTTTTTGATGTTTCACGATGCTTTGAGTATTTTTTTAAATATTAAACAATCATACAAAACAATGGAAAATTTGGAATTTACTATTTTTATAGATTTTTGTACGAAACAAAAACAATCTCTTCGAAAATCTTGATGATTTTCTATTTTTTATATTTAAAAAGGTTTAAAGTTTAGCGATATGTTATTGATGAGCCATAAAAATGGTGTGTATTTCAGTTTTGCGATGTGGCTTTGCGCTAGCCCCCCCCACCGCTAACAATCCAGAACAATTTTTAGGCACTTCAGGAACACCCTATCATTTTGTATGTTTGCCCCTCCGAAAACTGTTGTCACATTCCCTTGACCAAACACCCCAGCAACACGGTCTAGTCAATTACAAAGGGCCAATGACCAGCAGAATGGCCCAGGCAGGGCCCGTTCTGCACCCCCCGGATCGCCCATAAATCGACACGCCGATCTCGATCCACCGGGTGGGTCAAGCCGCCCAATCAACTAGTCACAGATTAATTGAGCTCGAGCTCGAGAGGAGGCCCGGGGTCAGCTGCCCGAATTCCATTCGTGCCGGGGCATCAAAATCCCGGGCCGGACAGGGCCGAAATGACCTCATCGCATTCCGGGACCCGTGGGGCCCTGTTAGAGCGGGTTGTTTGGGGCGGAGTTGCCCGGGGGCAAATTCCTGGCGTGCCAGCCATGAGTTGCCAAAACATCGTTTCCTCCCAAGGGGAGGTATAAAACTTTTGCCGGATGTCCTGGAGGTTCATTTGCAGCCGGCGTATAACGGGTGCCTCGACTTCCGGATTCCTTCCAAAGTGGTTTTTGAGGGGACTCCGTAAACTTCTTGGGATGTACTTAAGGCGGCGTTCCGGTACTCTGGCAGTCGTTCCTACCTTATTTACCGCCTTCTCCTTCCTATTTTGCGTGCTGGTGCGTTAACACAGGGGGACCGACCTTCCTTTATCCTCTTCCATATCTTGCAAGATATAAGCCATTTTGATAGGATATTAAGCCCTTTTTATGTTAAGCGTTACTAAAAATTATTGCATTTACTAAAACGTACCTAAAAATCATTAAAATTAACAAAACGGTACTAGAAAGTTATTTCAGTTTTCGAAAATTTCGACTTGTCGTTAAAACAGGTCAAAATTTCGACTTAATTTTTTAAAAAATGCTTTTAGAAATCGAACACTAATAAAACACTAGAATAACCTTTTCGCCGACTTGATCATGAGATCTTTCGGTAACTCGCAGAACATTAACACATTTTTCACCCTCCAAAAAAAAGCTCCTTCAGGTCTTCGTTTTCCTATCAGATGCTCCCACTCCCCCGGACACCAACCCCCAAACAACCCTCCATTATCCTGAGGGCCCCAACCAGGGCGGAGCTTGTTGTGATGGTTGCGCTTTCTCGGCTTCCTTGCTTGCTTTTTGCCACGCGTCTCCCCAGGGGCCATCAGTTTTCGATGCGCGCGCCCCCGAACTTTGGGCCACCTTCCTGTGCTGGGCCGCTTTGGAATTTAGGGGTCCATTGATCCCGCCCCTAGGGTTCCTTTACCGGGCCGCGTTTGCTGGGCAACTTTGGCTCTGCGGAATGGCCCGGATCAGGGGTCCATTTGTTACTTTTTGTTCCCCTGCGCCTTCTTGCCTCCTTGGGGCCCCCCACTGGCCGCAAGTGCCCGCCATAATTCTTGTGGCCCCCGGGTCGTTGGGAGAGCTGGCTGGCCAAGGGCCTGCAAAAAACCACCCCAGCAAGTTTCGTTTTTCGGCATGCACTCGCCAGTCTTGGCCTTTCTGAGGAACACTTTGCGAACTGCTCGAATTTTTGTGGTCATTCCCCTTCTATCTATCTTTTCTGGTGACCAGAACCAGCTTCAAATTTTCAGAAATGCGGGCCCTATCCTTGTTATTATTGACGTGCCACATCAGCTATGGCTTTGTTCGATCAGCACCAACGAATTCGGGAGCACGAGGAGCTGAGCGTGGACATTCCGAGCGGCGGAGAGTTGAGGTATCTTATTTTGCTACGATAAAATGATATAGCTTCGAAAACAACCCGTCATCTAGACTATTTTCTCCAAAAATAGATTATATACCTCTTTCAACATTTAGAGCATCACCAGCCTTCCCATTTCTAGGTTCTACTATCGAGTCCCGCGACCCCATGGCCCCATTATTTATGGTGATCCCAGCCCTTGTGGCGCCCCCGTCCACTATCAGATATACAATATGAGAGCAGGTACCGCTATTTTCCAAAATAAACAAGCAGTTTTAGGCGTCATCCCGGGCGTACGGCGATCTGTCGACAGAACCCCTCGTTGAGCCTGATCTCCGGGCAGCGGCGCTCCTCTCGCATGAACTTCTATACGCGCAGTATCTTCAGCTGGTACTTCCATGGTAGAAATTCAGCCGGAAATTCTTCTAGATCGTCTCCTGATCACGCTTAGCGCGCCAAGCGCCGCCACAGCCCGAATTTTTATCGCCACTTCGCAGCGAGCGCTCGATGAGCAGGTAACTAGCGTTTTTGCAGTTAAAACCAAATGCTATCTTTTTAGTATCCAGCCTTGCCGGAGGACCCAAGCGCCTTCGGCCACGCCGTCGCGCTACAAAAGACACTGCCAGCGCGCTGATCTCATGGAAGGCGTCGGGAAAAGTTCGGCGGGCTCCAGGTGGGGAAGTACCGTTTCTGCGCGGTGGTGTCGAGGAACGAGAACGAGTACGCTGTCTGTGATCATCTGCACGAGGGACTTGAGGTTGGTGGTCAAATCACGGCGCATGGGAGTGGAAAATGAAACAAGAAAATATGAGAGAGAATCGCCGTTTTCAGAGCATTCATTGCGTGGAGAGCTCGAAGAACCAGGTGAAAATCGACAAGTTGAGGTGAGTGAAAAAGACACCTTACTAGATAGAAAAACCCATTGAAAAAGCTATTTAAAATAGCGGTAAAAATTTTACCGATCGATTCAGGCCCGGCCATCAGTACTACGTGAGCCTTTTCGTTCGCGATTCAACCACCGGGGCCCGCGTCGCCATATTCAAGCCTACAGCTGACCATCCCCAGCCTCATCCGTCAGAAAAAACTACCGGGTCTTTGGAGCGCGCCAACGCTGAGGTAACCTTTAAAAGGCAGAAAATGTTATTTTTTTTAAAATTTTTGCGAGAATGTCATCCTCCACGACGGGCAGCTCGTCAACGGTGAGGTGCCGGCGGGTCGGGGCTCGATTCTCGGCTACGATATGAGCGTTTCGGAGGAGCGAGCCGCGAAAGGGTATGTACTTTTAGCATCACGCGATCATACTGATCTTTTGCAATCATTATCTTGGCGTTTCGACCATTCTGACCGCCGACAAATAGGCCCTCCCGGCCGAGGCAGGCGCGACAAATCAGTGCCCACATTTTGACGTACTTCCCAGTGCAGCCCCCGCCGAAAATACCCTGCGACTATTTCGGGGGTGCCAATGGCCGGCAACTGTCCATGCCGGTGACGCAAACGAATTCCTGGGCCGGGCCCGCAGGGCAGGGTTACTTGTTTTTGGGGCAGCTGACGGGTAGAGGAATGCAGGGCGGAAGCTGCACAACGTTCTGCCCAGGCCGAGGGGGTTGCGTGAGCCCGTTATTGTTTGGTAGTTGGTGGGTCATAGGGGGATTGTAAGAAAGTCATGGAACTGTTTTTCCCAAAATCGAGGAATTTACAACAAACTATTTACAAAACATTGTTTAAACTAAAAGATTTTCGTCCAAAATCGGCTAGTTTTGATCGAGAAATTGATGTTTCTGTATTTTTTCTAATAGTTTTTGAAATTTACATTACAAAAAGCAGCCTAAGGCAAAAGTATGACCAAAACCGACCTGACCAAAAACCATCGACAACCCGGAAAGACCCCCGCACCGGGTAACCCTAGCCACCCTCGACTTGCAAAACGATGACGCCACCCAGTCCGAAAAGCCCAGGAAAATTACGCCGGACACGCTCCAGAAACTGTTCGGGCAGCCGATCCGATTTCAGGTGCTGCTTGTCGTGCACTCGTGCAGTGGCTTCATCCGCGTCAACATCTACCGGAATGGGCGGCTGCTGAAGAAGAGCGAGGCGTTCTCCGGTTTCCGCAGGTGTGTTTTCCGGAAACTTTGAAAAGTTAGAAAGACGAAAGTTGAACTGGCAAAACGCCTGGACTTCCCTTTGACTTATATACCCCCAATTCCAGATTCCTGGTGCTGAACGTGAGCGGCGGAAAGCTGCGCTTCGAGGTGGTCAACGAGGAGGCACCGTGAAAAGTGTCCGTCTCTGGGCCTCCAGCCGCCCGGCCCAATCGCCCTATCCGCTTCTCCCTGACGACACCTCGTAAGGGTACGGCCTCGGATTTTTATGCAATTTTAGGGTGCGCGTGACGCGTCGCGCCTGCTCGTCCGCAACGCTGCA